ACTCATTACCCGTGGCCGTGGAGGATAACATTAAGTAGTTAACGGACCCAGAGAATCTCGATGTTAAACTCATAACCCATGGAGGCTAGAATTAAGTAGTTAACGGACCCAGAGAATCTCCCGAACGGTTGTTATTGTTGTGGTATGAGTGGGGTGGGGGTCCTTTTATTTATGACCTTGCTACTAATCTTTAAATTTTATGTTCATTTAAAAACTTGTATTCAGTAAGTTATTGACTTTAGCTGCCTTGGCTAGCCTTTATGATAAAATTAGTTGGGGACATGGGCGCCCGCTGAAAACTGTCAAATGTTAGTAATGTTTTAATGTAGTTTTAATTTATTGTAGGTATTTGTATGGTGAACGAATGGATAGGACATCAGCTTAGTTACTTTCTCTTTATTTTCTCTTTACTTTAATACATTTTTTGTCTAAAATTTTATTATCCAATCAATCCGGGGGGGGGGGGGCAAGTGCCCCCTTGCGGGCAGCCATGGTGGGGATGTAGGCCTACACTGTCCCGCCTTTACTAAGCTACTGTAAAAACTTACAGTCTGGCCCATACAATGATACAGTAATAACAACATACTGTATGGCCCATATAATGGTACTGTCTGGCCCATATAATGGTACTGTCTAAACGTCTGGCCTATACAAACCTACTGTAATAACTTAGTCTGGCCCATACAATGATACAGTAATAACAACATACTGTCTGGCCCATATAATGGTACTGTCTAAAGGTCTGACCTTTACAAAGCTACTGTAATAACTTACAGTCCAGCCCATACAATGATACAGTAATAACAAAGTACTGTCTGGCCCATATAATGGTACTGTCTGGGCCATATATTGCCACTGTCTGGCCCATATAATGCCACTGTCTGGCCCATATAATGCCACTGTCTGGCCCATATAATGCCACTGCCTGGCCCATATAATGATAATGTCTGGCCCATATAGTGGACTGTCTGGCCCATATAATGGTAATGTCTGGCCTATATAATGATACTCTCAGGCCTATACAATGCTACTGTAGTAACTTACAATGGAACTCATTACTTGGAATTCAATGTTTAACCTTGATGTACCATAGCACTCCAACATCTTAGTGACTGCTCCCTGTAGAAGATTACTGTAATACCTCAATAATTAGTTCTGTACATTGGAAATAAAAACATCATCTATCACTATTCTATCTCTCCTTTTTTTTTTTGTAGGCATTATACAGCTCTCTAGTTTTCGTGCCTCGCTGAACAAAAAAAATCACAGTTCCCTATTGAAATATAAATTTGTACATGTTATAAAACCCTTCAAAACTTGACACATTTGCGCCTATTGCCTCCCATCTTCCAACCCCCAGTCCATAATACCACTGCTGGGTAGCCCTTGCGACCAGTGAAGTATCCCCTTCAAAACCATGCACAGTAACATCGAGAACCCCTCTGAAACATAGGAGTCAGATTGATCAATTCATTGATTGTGGGCCCCCAAAACATAGAAGAAGAAGTTCTCTTGGGTTTTATTTCCAAGTCAAATAAGCCTGGTTTCAGCTCCTTGGTGTCTTTCACCGCAGTCACTGACATGTGTTTCTGTGTCAGCATTGGCAGTCACTGACATGTGCTTCTGTCTCAGGATTGGCAGTCACTGACATGTGCTTCTGTGTCAGCATTGCCAGTCACTGACATGTGTTTCTGTGTCAGCATTGGCAGTCACTGACATGTGTTTCTGTGTCAGCATTGCCAGTCACTGACATGTTTCTGTGTCAGCATTGGCAGTCACTGACATGTGCTTCTGTGTCAGCATTGCCAGTCACTGACATGTGTTTCTGTGTCAGCATTGGCAGTCACTGACATGTGTTTCTGTGTCAGCATTGCCAGTCACTGACATGTGTTTCTGTGTCAGCATTGCCAGTCACTGACATGTGTTTCTGTGTCAGCATTGATCAGGGATGCACAGTGCATGCCTGGCAAGGTCACATAAACTGAAATGGTTTGTTTTCCTTTCATTAATTCAAAGACGGAGATTTATTTTTCCCAGCTGATCACAGCACACTTTTGAAGCTTGTAAATATTAATTTTGAGTTTGAGCAGTAGGGCCCACATTAAATGAATAGGATTGAAATTTTGGTTTTTAAATTTGTCCCTTCTTTATTCATCTGATGAAATAAAACTTCTGCCATTGGTGGATCAAGGAAGAGAGCTAAAAACACTGATAGGTGTCATTTTAAAAATGGAAGCTGACTTTTCAACATTAATTTACCCCATAAAATTAATGTCTGATTGTATGTGTTTAATGAGTATTAAAATATGACATTTCCGTTTGATTCCCTTTTTTTTGTACTTGACCAGTATAGTAAGGAAACAAATTAGTAATGTTAAATTTATATAAAGAAAACAATTTTGTTATGTTAACTCTATATTGAGGCAACAATTCTGTTGTGTTAACTTAATATCAGTAAAACTATTTTTGTCTCTAGAAAACCTGTGTTTGTGGGGATCCTGCCATGCCCATTCAAGAATGATGTCACAACAACACATCTATTCTCTCATCGAGGATGATGACGAGGACTCCTCTGATGTCAAAGAGGTGATGCCATGTCCCCCTTACATGTCACCCGGAAGCTATGGTGTATCATCCCCAAGATTTTCACAGCACCAAATCATGTGAGTTATTCACCTTTCAGAGCTAACTTGATGGCAGATCTATAAAACACAGAAAATTCTATCTGCTTTAACTTCAAGATACTGAAAACCTTATACCTTTGGTATGCCTACAAACTCGAACACAGAATTTATGTTATAAGAAGAATAAATTTAGTTGAACTTATATTTTTAGGATTTGATTGCAAAAGTCTGGTTGAAAATGGATTTGCAAAAGGTTGGGGGCTAGAAAAGTCTTGTATGGAAGCTAGAACAGTCTTGTATGGAAGCTAGAAAAGTCTTGTACGGAAGCTAGAAAAGTCTTGTACGGAAGCTAGAAAAGTCTTGTATGGAAGCTAGAAAAGTCTTGTATGGAAGCTTTATGTGTTTACAATTTATCCACAAAATGATTATAACTCTTTCCATGTATTAAGTTTTAGTGTTTCCAGTCTAACTTTAATTCATCCGAAATGATGAAGTTTGCATTAACAAGTTGTGCTCATTAAACCTCCATCAACAGGGATGACCAAATTAAAATAGAAAGAGGTCATCCTATGGACACCAGCCCTGCCAGCAACACTATGTTGAATTCTTGTGTCTCAGCCATCAATAACCATATGACCAGCACATCTTCAGCCATGAGTGGCCACTCTTCTGTGAAACAGCGCGAAGTCAGCGAGTACACCTATGCACAAGCCCTTCTCAAACAAGCCCCTAAACTGACCAGCACAGGAGATCTTGACCGCACCAGTGTACTGCGTCTGGCGCAGGCCTACATAACATTACAACAAGGTGAGGCATTTATTAAATTTTTTTAGTTTTCTGTCTTTAAATTTTTCACCAGCCATTTTAAGATTTTGTTAGACTATTATAAATAGATTCAAGTTTGGAACATGGTGAAAATAAATTTACTTTCCAAGTGCACAAGGGACTTTTGGACCCTTGATGAGTTATTCAGGTGTGCACATATATCACTGTCAAATCCCCCCCACATATGGCAGGTTTGAGCCCAGATCCAAGTCTTAAACATGCATCTTTTAGTATTTTAAGAACACCTCATTCTGCATAATAAGGTGAGGCCTAAAGTAACAATACAAGAGTTATTTAAGAATGCATCACCTGCATAATAAGGAGAGGCCTAGATTAACTCAGTAAATTATCAAATTTGAGCAGTAAAAAAAAAAACATACTTCTAAACTTACTCATGTCATCACTGCATTGTTGGACAGAACAATACTCTTATTTTTATTTCATAATTTAAAGAACTTTAAAAAAAAAAATATTTCATTGTGAAATTATCTTGAAATAGGTTAGATCTAGTGTTAATTTATAATAACTGAACAGTTATCATCATTCTTTGTGAAAATATTAATGTAAGTAAGTTGACACTTCAAGATTTCCTATGTAATGAGAAAATCATTTAGACTAGATTTTATTGTCAAATTGTTGTCAGTATTTTAACACTTTCATTTTGGAAATTCATTTATTATTGCTGGTTGTGAGCACTTGAACAAAGACTCAATGCTTTCTGTGCGTGACATTGTCCACATTGATGCAGATTGATTAGTAAAAACTTTCAAACTGACATAGATGATTAGATTAGTGATATCTTTCAAATTGATGAAGATGGTTAGCTTAATGACATCTTTCAGATTGATGAATATGGTTAGCTTAGTGACATCTTTCAAATTGATGAAGATGGTTAGCTTAGTGACATCTTTCAAATTGATGAAGATGGTTAGCTTAGTGACATCTTTCAAATTGATGAAGATGGTTAGCTTAGTGACATCTTTCAGATTGATGAAGATGGTTAGCTTAGTGACATCTTTCAAATTGATGAAGATGGTTAGCTTAGTGACATCTTTCAAATTGATGTAGATGGTTAGCTTAGTGACATCTTTCAAATTGATGAAGATGGTTAGCTTAGTGACATCTTTCAAATTGATGTAGATGGTTAGCTTAGTGACATCTTTCAAATTGATGAAGATGGTTAGCTTAGGGACATAATTTAAAATTGATGAAGTAAGTTAGCTTAGTGACATCTTTCAAATTGATGAAGATGGTTAGCTTAGGAACATAATTTAAAATTGATGAAGTAAGTTAGCTTAGTGACATCTTCCAAATTGACGCAGATGTTTAAATTAGTGACATCTTCCAATATGTCGAATTTGATTAGATTAGTAACATCTCCCAAATTGTTGCAGATGGTTAGCTTTGGGAAATAATTCAAAATTGATGAAGTAAGTTAGCTTAGTGACATCTTCCAAATTGACGTAGATGTTTAAATTAGTGACGTCTCCCAAATTGACGTAGATAATTATTTCATTTTGTACTTCCGTCTCATGCACAGGTCTGCAATGCTGGGAGAACTCGGGCAACAGGACAACATGGTGGCCCGACTACCTGGACGGGGGCACGCTGACCCTGGCAGCACAGGAGGTATGGCTTAAGATTGGTCACTTTAGACATGTCTGGTTTGTTAGTCTGTGTTTAATGATTGCGTTGGTTGTAGAATATTTAGACTCGTTGTCTGCATTCATATCTTTTAACTATATCTTTGTTACATGTTTGGTTGCACTGTCGAGAAGTATGGAGTGTATTGTTTAAGCTACAAAGAAAAGGTTGGGGACATTAATGGGGATAATGAAACAATGTATATAAAAAATATACAAGTTAAAATGATAAAAGTTTAAGATTGGATTTAGGGACTTTAGTACAGACCCATGCATGTCCAAGTGTGTCTCAAAATTGATAAATTGATTTTTACCTATTTTTAGTATACAGGGTATGTGTCATGGTTGTCTTTGTGTTTTATTTTATTTATATTTTTTTTTTCACAGACCATGAACTGTTTTGTGCTGATCATGACATCACAGGGCAATGTGGTTTATGTGTCTGATGCTGTTGAGTCACTGTTAGGACATGATCAGGTACTCACACTTTCCCAACATTTAAAGGAAGAACAAAAGCATTCCAACAAAATCATTCTTAATAGTTTCCTGCTAGCCATTAATAAGAAATGGAATATTTTCCCAACCCCAATCTTTATTCACCCTTGACTAGCCATTTACTTTCTATTGTAAATTACTCAGCAGTCATGAGATATACCATCAACAGTTTAAACTGTTAACAGTGTTTTGTATTTAAAGTTTTAAAAAATTTTCAGTAAATTTTTGTGACTGCTATGTGACAGAATTCAGTTGGGTTTAAGGATTTGAGGTGACTCAAGCAGCAGAAAGAGCAATACATTTGACTGTTGCAAAGTCATCGTGATCAAACTTATGTACAGAAAAAATGTGGTCTAAAAATGTATCCCAAGTTGCATCAGTAAAGCAATGTTTTGGAATTATATAACACACACACATAAACTTCATCTATAATCTCCAGCTAATTTCTTTGTTATTTAAAAATTCATCGACTGATCCATTCCACAGTTAAATCTTGTTGGTCGTACGATACAAACGTTGGTCCATCCAGAAGAAATGCCTGTACTGGCTGCCCAGTTCCACCTCATCATTGGACCATGTAAGTACATAGTGGGAAGGTTTTAAATCAAGGTCATCATTCTTTTCATCCTTCTCCAAATAATTTACTGATTCACATTAAACTAATTTAAATAAAGAGGTTCCTTATTTTATAAAGAGTGATTGTTGGAGGGAATGAAATTATTTTTGACAGCTTTATGATAAGAAGTGCTTTTGGTGTGGCATAGGGATCATCACACTTAATTACTATGTAACAGATTGTTTGCTCAAAGTATAACTTTTAAAAAAAATTATTATTATTTTTTGGGGTTTTTTTTGTTTCTTCTTAAATTATTGCAGTTTTCACTCGTCCGTGAAAAACTGATCTAAAATAGTGATAACTAGGGTAGCTGTCGCTCCCCTGCCCCCCTACCAGCCATGTTGTCGTTACATGTATTTCTAATATCATAGTTACAAACGTGGGAAAATGGCCATAATACACACATTTCTTTACATTTGGTCCAAAATCTCACTTAATCTAAAAAAAAAGAATAATTAATTAATAATCTTGATCCTTTAAATTGACTGAACTATTTTTATTATTTCAAGTCACAGCAGCAATTTTGTAAATGTATCATACTAATGTGAGAAATCTTATTCATCAATGTGGTTAAACAAAAATAAAAAAAAATACATGTGACACACTAATTCAGATTTATGGGATAGGAAATAACCAAACAAAAAACATTGAACAATTTTATGTCGGATCAAGTGTCTGAAGTCTTGGCAGCTTAGAGAAAAAAAAAGAATATTTTTTGTTTTCGGTCTTGTCATGTATCAACACTTTCATGTATAAGCTGCTGAGAGGTCAAGCTGTCTAAACTGAGTCAATCAAAAGCTTGTGGACTGGAGTTCAATGACCAGGAAAAGCTGGGTGAATGGGACTCGTTAACACCTTGGTAGGGCAACTCATCTAAGAGAATGCAAACACTGAAATCAAACCCGGAGATGGACTCTCATAGGCAGTGTGATATTGAAAACAATGAAAATTCCTACAACGTAACGTGGAACATGTAAAGAGCACAGTGAAACGCGCACAAAAACAATGCTGGTTAGCTACTGCATCCTGGTCTATTTCCAGTCATCTTGAATAAGTTTTGCCACTATAACAATTAAGCAAGGATCGAGAGTGTGAGGCTAAAAACTGAGCAGCTCTCCCTCACTTCAAACAAAATACAGCTCAAGTGAAGGCTACTACACAAGTCAAAGCATTGGTCATCTTCACATGCTTTAGGTCAAAAAGTAATAATAAACACTGACCATATCACATAAAGAACAGTGAATTTGGGGGAGTGGATGTGCAACAGCACCTTACATATATTAAAAAATTTATGAAATGTAATTAAGGTGCAATATTTTATTAAAACTATCTAGATTCATGTAATATTTTCCCGGTAGGACAATAATGGGTTTTAACAAAATATTATGATTATCGAGCAAAATGGCCAATAAATGTTATCTGCTGATTAATCATTCCATGCCTAATATAATATGATATATAAAATATATATAATATATGCTAATAAAGCCTTGTATTTCATCAACAGCTGGACGGCAAACTCTACAGCGGTCTTTCTATACTCGAATGTTGAACTTGCGAAGATCAGGTACAGAACACCAACAATTTGAGCTGGTCCACATCATTGGTCATTTACAGGACGTTTCTCTAGCAACTGGTCAGTCTGGTGGGGGAGGTAAGAACTAAACCTTGTTGGTCCTTGTTATGAGTTGTTGGGGATTGGATATTAAGACAGAAATAAATAGAGAACACTCTTTACAAAAATAAAAATAATTGAGTTTGAGAATCACATTGCTTCTATGCTTGAATGTTATTGAAATGTCTCTGCCAAGTTTAAACCTTTCACTCTTAGGTCAGCGGGAAACGTGGCTCATGTGTGCTTGCAGAGTTATGTCCCCACTTGTGGAGAAAGAGGGAAGTGGGTCAACTTACACTGAGTGGGTGTCCCACAATGCTTTAGATGGAAAAATTTTATACATGGATGCCAGGTAACAGAAAAATGCTCTTTGATGGTTAGTGTTATCCATTGTAGTAAACTGATTTCCCTTTAAAATGTTTCATTAAAACTTCTGTTAGAAAATAACGATTACTTAGAGATCACTGTACCCAAATCCTACCCACAAAACAAAAACCCAAAAACACCAAATAAAAAGCAGCTCAAATTACCTCTATCAAATCGTGTTGTTTTTTTTTAAATTGAGAAGTTAATGTTTTCAATCACCTTAGGGTTGGTATGCTTAAAGCTGCCCTACACATTCAGCTGTTGACATTATTTTCACTGATGTAAATTACTTTCCTCTTGTTGTTTTCACAGATCTTGTCAGGTAACAGGTTATCTGCCCAATGAAATGGTGGGAAGGTCGACCTATTGTTTCATACATCAAGACGACCAGGAGCATGTGGCATTCAGTCACAAACAAGGTCAGACATCATCATTATATATATGTTAACATTTGCAACATATATTGTTTTTTTTATAGCTAAAGAGGTTTTTGTTTATTTGATTTAGTGTTTCTCATTGATGCACCCAAGTTAACACCACTTGCTTTTTTTTTTTTGGCACTCACCTTACCAAGAAACATATTTTCAAAAGTCATTAATTGTCCTTTGTGCGTGATTGTTTCAGCCCTCATCAATGTGGGTGGCTCCAGCTCCACTTATAGGATGTATCGCAGGAGCAATGACTTGGTGTATGTGCACACCACCACTCAGCTGGCCCGAGACAAACACAGCAACAAGCCAAAGTTTCTATTCTGTGTCAACCATGTTGTTGAGTGAGTGTGTGTTCACTAAAATAATATTCACTCAATAATGCATAACAAGTTGTTACACATTTTGAAATGTGTTGCTGAGCTACAAAAAACCCTGTGTGTCAACGTCTTTTTAATTCAACAAGTCCTAGTTAGCCATGCAAAGTAATTCAATCACTGGTCATTTTTTTATTTAAATATATAAAATAAGTATTTCTGGCTAAATTTGCCGCTAAATTATTACTATTTTTTTTATTATTATGTCATATAACGGTACAGTGATGACATTTTTTTTAAAAACATAACTTCCTCCCCAGTGAGCAAGAAGGGAAGTTGCAGGTGTCTCGACACCAACAAGATCTCATGTGGGACAAGTCTGACCCATCCATCAAATATAGCATGACCGACATTGAGAGGACAGTCAAAGCCCTGGAGGCAGAAGGTGGCAACTCACCACCTGTGGTCTCAAAGGGGGGCATGAAGATGAGCAAACTTACAGAGAGCTGCTCAGCCGATGGGGGAGACTTGCTCAGCGTCAATATACCAGCTCTGCTGCGTGTCCCGCCTCTCCTGTTTAAAACTGAAAAAGACCAGTGGTCGGGAACATCATCCACATGCCACCAGCAGGGAGCCATGAAATCTCACTTTAACACTGGGGGTCAGTACCAACACCAGGGTCAGGCGCTCGTGTCCTCTCCATTGCCAGGGGCTGGGTATGGAGGAAGCTACGGCTTTGACAACAGCCCCGGAAATGCTGCCCAGCAGGGTTTGTTCAACAGGTCATCCCAACAGCAGCAGCAAACACAGGGCAACTTGTATGGTTCACAGAGGCATCCTTACCAGTCCCAAGTGACCATGTCCAACTCCAGCTCAATGTGCCACAACATGATGTCTGGCGGCAGCCCCGGGGACAGTCCTGTCAGTGTCTCAGGCACTGGATCTTATGTGGATTACCTGTATGATAACTCGGGTTCCCCATCTGTACCCAGTGATGTTTCATTGTTTAACGCTGATGCTCTGCTCAGTCCTTCCATGCTCACCGCGACCGGTCGGGCCCGTGGGAGAGGCAGGACTAGGGGACGGCCACGGGGCAGTGGGCGAGGGGGCAGAGGTGTGACGAGAGGTGTGAGAGGATCAAGAGGTCCGAGGGGTGGTAGAGGCAGCAGGGGCAGAGGGAGGGGTGCAAACATCTCACAACTTTCTCAGATGGGGGATGTGATGGGGACAATGAAGAAACCAGATGGCATGGTGTCTTGCGGTAGTATGTCACCCATATCTGTGCGCAGTAATATGTCACCCAGGGGTAATATTTCACCAATGGGCAGTCCTGGTGAGATGTTCCCAAGTCCCAACTCAAATGTTGGTCTGCAAAGATCTACATCAACAGTCAGTAACAAGAGTCAGCATTCTTTATCAGGGACACAAGGGGTGGAGTTACAGAGACTTTATTCAGACAGCAACATGCAGGTTGACATCAGATCATCAAGCCTGCAAAGGATGGTATCGGATGACAGCGGGATGTTTCAGAGAATGACGTCGTTGGATGGTATTGACATGCTAGATGCCAGTTCAGATTTTGGGTTGCCTGGGGCATCAAATGATGACCTACTTTCCCCAAACTCGTGGTGTCAGGACAGGACTCAGAGTGCTCAAGTATCATCTTACAGGACGCCCATTCAAGCCAGTGAACGTGTTCCAGAGAAAAAGGTTGGCCGCCCACGTGGCAGCAGAGCACACCATGACAGACATCAACACATCCACAGGGCCCAATCTGTTGATGACCCGATGTCGTCTTTGGTTGGCTTCGGGGGCGGCGGTCAACAGTCTTCAGCCTATAGTCACAACCCACCTTTCACTGGCCAGAACTCATCTTTTCAAGGCCACGGCGCCAGGGGTGGTGGGGGCAATGGTGCCGATAGCTCCAGTTCATCTTTTCAGTGTCAGAATCAGACAAGTGGAAGCAGCACAAATAATAGTAGAAGTCAAGACAACTTCCAGAGGTCCATCTCCTTCCAGGGTCAGGCCATTAACCACATGACCACAACTGCAGACACACAGGACCCAGAACATTCCATCTTGGGAAACTTGCTCAAGGGGAGGGGCGGATCCACTTCAACAACAGGGAGTAAGTCACCCGCTCACACAATGCTGACAAGTATGGGAAGGTCTCCAGGCCATTCCATGGGCTTGGACAAGAGTGGCAGAACACCAGCACTTCAGTCCATGGACAAGGGCTGTAGGTCACCAGCACATCCCATGATGTCTGAAGTCTCCTCCCCTGTTTCTGTCTTCTCCCCAGATCCTAGTCAAACATCTTCTTTTATTAAAGGTAAATTGAACATAAAAGCATTAAAGTAAATTGATCATAATATAAAATACATCAATTTATTTATCTTTTTGACTTCATTTTTTAAAATGTTTTTATCTACCTATGTTCAAAATATCAAACTGAAAGTATTTATTGATGCATTTAGATGAGCCAGACTTAATATCAAACTGAAAGTATTGATGCATTTAGATGAGCCAGATTTAATATCAAACTGATAGTATTTATTGATACCTCTAGATGAACCAGATTTAATTTCAAACTGAAAGTATTTATTGATACCTCTAGATGAACCAGATTTAATTTCAAACTGAAAGTATTTATTGATACCTCTAGATGAACCAGATTTAATATCTCCTATTGGAGACTCAAGTGTGGTAACCTCAAGCTCTCAGATGTTCAGTTCAAGTGCACTACAGAGCCACCAGCAAGGGGACATATCTCTTGTGGAACAAGGTTGGTTACTTTTGCTTTGACGTTAGATGGGCGCTCTTCTTTAGCACTCATTCATCAAACTTATTAGATAAATCAGTTTTTCATTCTTTTTCTTTAAATTTACATAATTATATCTGAAAATTTCTTTAAGTGACTCAAATTCATGAGCATTTATAGCCTTTTCCTTTTGATGTATGGAAGTTTCATTCAGCTTTATTTCAATGAAAGAGCCCAATTACTTTGAATTCTAAATGAAAAATTTGAAAGCCACATTTATTACTGCTTGATAGGTGATCACAAATCTCTGTCAGAGATGCAGATGTTCTCCACACAGCTGCGCCAAAAACACAAAAACTTAGAGCGTAGCCTCGAGTCCCAAGACGACCTTATACGTCAGCTGGAGTCCAAAATGCAACAGGTGACCAAGGATTTGAATCCAGAGTCTGTCTACTCAAAGTTAAATGCACGCCTGGAAATCATAAAGGTACAGTTACTATCTTGATGTTTTGGTGCAGAGTACTTATATATCATAAGACTCCATTATATACTTTTAATTACCTGCCTACTCTTTATTGTACCTACAGCATCAATCAAGCACGATCATGCTATAGAACTTGGGCATATAAAATAATTACTTTTTTTTAAAAAGAAACCAATTTGGCAGAAAAGTAGTCAATTCTGAATTTGACGAGGTAAGAATCCCTGATGGTTTTAGTTAGCGAATTTATGAAAGTAGTCCAGGCGTGAATGTGAAAGAGTGGGTGGCGTAGGAACTTGTGCGAACGAAAAGTACGCACGTTTGGTAGAGTGGGTGAACTCGCAGAATGACTAGGGAGTGAAAGGATAGACAGTGTAATCCAGTAGTCTATCTAGTACGTGGTTTCTTGGCTAATTTTTGTTAGCGGAACTTATGGTACTATTCAGAAGAGTGGTCTTAGTAATTGTAATAATGAGCATGTGCTAATGGTGGAACTATATAAAGAGTAAATATTAATATTGAACACACTTTGAGCTAATGTAGTTATTCTTGTGAACTGGTGAGTCATACCCTAGACTAGTGGTCGGCATGCTGCTCTTTAGCGACCTGAGTGTGGCTCGGCCAGAAATCAGTTTTGACTCCGAAAAAATGGTTCTTGACAGGTTCTTGAAAAGAAATTTGGATCTCAAAAAAAATTTTTATCGTCCTGCTGCTGGTTTTTGGCTCTTTGACTAGTGAGTTTGCCGACCACTGCCCTAGGCAACACCACCAAACACTAGTTCCATAATCCATTCTTGACAGTACTGTCATTGTGGTTTTAAAAGTGGGCTTCTGAAAGGATAATCATTCTGTATTTTTCTTTACTTGCAGAGCAACAAAAGTAAGCAAGAAAAAGAACTTAGAGCTATACAAGCTCGACTTGAGGACCAAGTCCGCCAACAGCAGCAACATCAACTTCGGCAGCAGCAGCTACAGCAGCAGCTACAACTTCAACAACTTGACCTACAACGACACAGGCTCAACTCTCCGGCACTGACGAACACACGCCGCATGGCCATAGTTCCACCAATCCAGCGTCAACCCACCGAGGGGGACCTGAACCCAACCCTCTCGCAGCATGGCATGGGTGATGTCAAGCCCAGTCAGTGTGCTGGAATGCAGCATGAGAATTCACTGGACCTTGCAGGTGGTGGGAAATCAATGCCAGTTACCGCTTCTTTAAGTGATCCTGGCACAAAGCTCAATTCTCTCCAAGACTCAAGACTCCCGACCAAGCACAGGCAGGATTCTACCACTTTAAGTGTTGGTGGTCCAGCCACACAGAACCGCAGTCTTCAACACCAGTCAACACAACCATCTCCCTACAGTCTGCACCATCACCACCACCATCATCACCATTATCACCATCATCCCATACCACCACCATGTCTGTCGCAGCAACAGCATGTGGAGTTCTCTGGTCCACTCAAGGGGACGCCCCCACCGCCTCCACCACCCTACGGTTCATTTGAAAACTCCATGTTCTCTTCAGCCCTGGCACCAGGAGCCCTCAGCATTTCCGTGACCACTGGCAACAACTCTCTGTCTTCTCCCATCATCTGCGACACATCACCCGTGTCTGTGGACGAGTCCCCCAGCTGCGCCAGTGATGCATCGTCTGGTTACCACAGCCTTTCACACGGAGTGGAAGCTAACAATGGCTCAACCGTCGGCCAGTATGCTAAAGCGCACTGCCTTGACATGCCCACATCCACCCTCCCACCCTACAGCTCCAAAACTCCCCCTTCTTTTGGTCAGTCCCACCAAGGGTCTGTCAAGTCACCTGACTTCATGTCCAGCAGTAAATCTCCTTCTACTTGAGAAATTTTGGAATTGTTGAGAGGGAGTTCTTTCATTTAACATTAGGACATCATTCTTACTGCAAACATTTCAGACACCATTTCATATTGGGGCCTAAAGTTATCCCTAACGCAAACCCAAAAACCTAAATAATTTGCTAGCTTTTTCTGAACAACTTGTGAAAAAGTGTTCAAAGCATGTACCAACACAACAGCTTTTGAATAATTTATTTTTATTAAAAATTAAAATAATAATAGTTCCTAATAATTGAAGTATTTGAAGTGAGTGGTGGTGTAAAACTTCAGATTATACCCAATCAAAAACTTGCTTTTTTAAACTTTCTGATATGCCCACTTCAGAAATTTTTTTTCTCTCTTCAGTCTAAGTCCATCAGTGAAAGGGAAAAAACAAATATCTATACAGCCATTATTTGAATTCTAAACTAAATTTCTAAGATTGTTAGAAACCTTGTTGTGTTGATAAAAGGTCTAGTTGTTATTGTGGACCACATGAAATGAAAGTCATGTTAAATTGTACCTCACAATGACTTGATCAGTGCAAACTACCTTGTTATATGTCTCTTTGTATTGCCCCCCCCCCCCCCCCCCCTCATTACCACACAGTATTGTATGTGATGGCAACCACTTGTATATTGCTTTGTTGTCAAATAAATGGCCTCTTGTCCTGATATCAAATAAATTGATAAATATTATCTGATCTGACAGACACTCACCCCCATGCCACTGTCTCAGGCTTAAATGGTAACATGTAGACAATTTGTGGGGGAAAGGAAATAACACTGAGTATATACTGTGACAATTAAAAATTGGATATCCAACATTTCCTCTAGAAATGTCATCTGTGACAGGCTTTCTCTTCCAGTAAGTTCTTAAAACCAAAGTTGTGAGAATCATGGCTAAACATAATTGGCATTTTTTTTTTTAAACCAAACAGATTTGGTGACCTGATTTCAAATTTTATGTCACTTATGAGACCAGGGTGATATTCCTACATGAGGCCAATCTGGAAAGTGCCCACTGAGCCTTTCAGCCTCGAGAAAGCCATGTGCAAGAAGTCAGCACCAAGTTATTCCTAATGAGGTCAATCTGAAAAGTTCTCATTGAGCCTTTCGGCCTCGGGAAAGCCATGTGCGAGAGGTCAGCACCAAGTTATTCCTAGTGAGGCCAGTCTGTTAAGTATCCATTGAGCCTTTCAGCCTCAGGAAAGCCATGTGCATAAACAGGGGGCATAATTTTACTACTTTCAGTTGATTTTTTTTGTCTTGTGAACCCTCAAAATCTCCAGCATAATTGTGTCCCAATACAGATTACAGTGTTCTGTATTTTCTCTACAACTTGTGTAAAGGGTGTCTTGTAGAAGATGTCAGACTTGATTTCCTAATTATCATCACAGAATTGATTGTTGTGACTTTTTAATGTACACTTTGCTAAAAAAAAAAAAAAAAAGAGAGAAAGAAACTAGCACCTGTCCCACAAGTAGGTCTGAACCAGACCATAATTACCAGCATAATTGTGTCCCAATACAGATTGTAGTGTTCTGTATTTTCTCTACAACTTGTGTAAAGGGTGTCTTGTAGAAGATGTCAGACTTGATTTCCTAATTATCAACACAGAATTGATTGTTGTGACTTTTTAATGTACACTTTGCTAAAAAAAAAAAAAAAAAGAGAGAAAGAAACTAGCACCTGTCCCACAAGTAGGTCTGAACCAGACCATAATTATGTAAAATAATTGCCAGGCTGTGGCAGTGAATGTTATGTGAGCTGTTGGTGCTAAGTCCTATTGGTGTACTGCTAGAAAATATTTGTTGATTGGGGAAAGAAACAACAACAGTGTTCTTACACTGACAGAGGTTATTTAATGTGATAATTTTGCTATACTCTATATATTGTTGTTTGAAGAGTCTTTTACTTGTTTTTATCTAGTTTTTTCAAGTGAATGAATGGACAAAATATGAGTCTAGTGTCTGTAGATTTTATTTTTTTTTTTAATTCTCCAAGGCATACTGCTATGCAGTATTACTAATAACTGATTTTTCTTTTCCAGCTGTTAGCATAGTGCAATTTTGTTCTTGCCTTGTTGTAAAAGGTTTGACTTGTTCAAATGTTCATGAAATAGCTAACATCAATACTTTAATTCATGTTGTTTGTATTTTATTGCCCCCGAAGCCAACCAAAGATGACATCGGGTCATCAACACTCTGCTGGCCCATATAAAATAGACTTCAATCTTAACTTCAACTATTTAAATTTAAGTTGTTGTTATTTTATGTTGTGACAGTAATGTTTGACTATCACACTTTGCACCCAGATCCTTTGATTACTAAAGAATGCAGATTTTCTAAATACTTCAAAGAAAATCATTTATGCTAATAATTCTGATTTAATCATTAAGATGGGGAGAAAAAGTTTATTTTGCATGAAATTTAATTTTCAATGCTTGTTATATTTTTTCACCATGCTGTTTCTTCTTCATTCTTGTTTTGTTTTTTTGTTTTTTTTTTCAAACTATAATTTTCTTTTTCAATTTCATTCTGTTTCCATTGGCATCTGCATAAAGTCTTTCACTGAGTAACCATTTCCTATGCTATTTACCAGTATGTTATGTGATTTACATGGTAGCTGGAATGCCAATATGGTTCCATTACTTTTACTTTGATGATCCAACTTTTGTACCCAATGACCACTTGTTTCTTAGAGTAATACTGCCATTTTAAACCTCTAATCATGCATAAGTTCCAAAACTTAATGGATTCAAGTTCAAGGAGCCTTGCTGAATCCAGGTATTCCCAAGGCACACGGTGTCAAATTCTAACGCACCACTGCGAAATGCTGATTAATAACTTGTGAAGTGCCATCTTTATCTAGACATCATTTGTTGAGGCTGCTGCAAATCGATATTAACAATTTAGTCACTGGTTTGCACAAAACCACAGGTCCCCTTGGTGCCGAGGTGCATATTGTGGGAACCACTGCTATAAAGAATTTATTTTTTTTTATTTTCCCCTTAAAAATTTTTTTTTAGTCTTGTTTGATCTATTAATTTTTAAAATTGAAGACTAGCAGATATAAAAAGTATTTTCAGTTCTGGGCAGAGAAGAACCTGATCTTGTTAGAGAAATCTTTTCTACTGATTTAGAGATGAGATGACTATAAGCTGTACTATTATAATGTTGGCTTCTAGACAAATGGTGGAATCATCTAGTATAGTGGACCTGTGCGGGGGGGGGGGGGTAACTTGAAAAAAATATNAATTACAAAAAATAGTGGCACCAGGAATCTCACCTTTTTAGAATTTACAACCCATTGAAATAATTTTAATTTTTTTTTTTTTTTTTTTAAATGGCTTTGGTGACATCATGATAAAAATAAGGGATCTTTGAAAATAAAAATAATATATTATTAATATTATGATGTGACATTCAAGAAATAAAGGAACAAATTAATTAATTTTTTCTTACCATTTTGGTTGGCAAGTGAGAATTATCTGTACAGTTTAGGTGATTTTTGCATGCACAAAAACAAGTTTGCCCACCACTTGGTTTGGTCATTAATTGTGTGGAACATTTGCCTGTTAACTTTACATTTGTAGTAAAATGTATAGATATGTATGTATCTTTGACTAATTACTGTGGAATCAAATGCTTTAGAACCATTTGCTTGATGTTAATTTTTTTTTTTATTAATATTATTTTAAAAGGTTGTTAAAATATTTAACCAAGGACTTCCATTTTACTGATTTTTAGGATAACACATATATATATATATATATATAATTTTTTTTAAAGCTCCTTTTATTTTTAAAAAAAAAAACACATTTTTTATAGCTGTTTATCTTGAAAGCTGTGTATAACTTGTATTTTTAAGGGTTGTGTTGATGGATCATAGCTGTATTTTTTTGTACTCACTGGCCAGTAGCCAAAGATTGTGGACTTTGTTAGGATTTGTCCACCTACTCTACATCTCTTTACATTTGTTTGTATATATTGAACAGTCAGCTCAATCACTTGAAATCATTGCTTGACCACAACAGCTTTTGAAATTAATACTGCAATCAATCATTTTTTTTCTTTTTTTTTTAATTACATGGGGGAAAAATATTTGACCACGTCAGTTGCTTTAAGCCAAAAGCTTTTGTTTTAAATGTCTGAGACAGGAGAAATCTGAAATTCTTAACACAAGTCTAGCTCAAAATTTTAAAAAATTGGCTTTTATATTCAACTGAGTCAAAGCAGCTATAATCTTTGATATGTCAAGTGTAATTGACAGTCAACTTGTTAGCCGCCTGTGAGGAAGTACATCTGTCTCTAACCCAGCGGTTCTCAACCTGTGGGTCGATCGACCCTTTCACAGGGGTCACCTAAGACCATCGGGAAAACACATACACTCTACAATTATGAAGTTGCAAAGAAAATAATTTTATGGTTGGGGGGGTCACCACAACATGAAGAACATGGGTCGTGGCAATTAGAAGAACCCCCCACCCCTGCTCTAACCCTTGTTTTGAGAAAGGTTACCCGCACTTTTATTTTCATACTAATATCGCCATCAAATCTAGAATTTTTGTCTCATGTTGAGAACCGCTGATCTAGCTTTGACCTGGAATGAAAGAGATGTTGTGGTAATGTTTGCTAAGAAAGTCTTACATCTGTTTTAGAAATGGTTGTCATCTGTAAACTGCACTGCACCAAGTTAATTTATTGAAAGAGACCAAAAAAAAAAAGTTGCCTTATTTTTATGACATACTATTTTGTACACTTGAATTACCCCTAGCCATTTATTATTATGTACTTTTTTTTGTACATTTTGAATTACACCTAATGATTTAGGGATATTTCTTTTAATTTTCTGTCAGATGTCAATGATGTATTGTATTTTCTGTCAGATGTCAATGATGTATTGTATTTTCTGTCAGATGTCAATGATGTATTGTATTTTCCGTCAGTTTATGTCAATGATGCACTGATGGGTTGGTAGTGAACATAGTTGTTCTATTTAACTA